AAAAACATTTAGAAGAGAGACTTTTTTTCTTAGAAAGTTGGATAACTGATAACAGGGGTCCTTTTGGATGCAGGGTAGACCAGTGCCCTTCAACAATGCCTACATAAAAAACCTGTCCCCTTTTCCCCATATACATTTCCTGACTGAGTATTCTTTGTAGACCTTTAATGTCTTTCTTTTTAATTAAATTGGCCTCTTTAAAAATAATATGTAATGTAATTAGGGATTATGCAAACGGATACCTTGAGAGGGGATCTCAGGTTTTGAGAAGGGAAGAGTTATAGCTTTGCTGTTTCTTTTTTTACCACCAGAGTTTTTTACAAGTCGTTCTCCCCAGGCTCTGCTCTTTTTATTTCTGTTAAGAATGCTTCAAATGCTTGGCACATTTTAAGAGGGACTTGGCAGACAATACTCACACAGCAGGCTACAGTATTGTATAATTCCTTCTAAGCTCTGGCATCGAGACTGGCACGTGCCAGTATCTCGGATCCTGATTAAGCCCCTGAAAGCTCCTGGGGTATAGCTTGCAGAAATTAAGTATTCCAGCAGCACAGATTAAGCCTCCATGAATAATGGTTTTTGTAGTGCACAGTGGAAACATTGTCTGAATGTAGAAAGGGTGTTTAGGTGATGTTGCTTGTTATATTTTAAGACCCGCTATGAGTGTTCTCTGGAATATACTCAAGTATCTAACAAGAAAGTATTTGCTGTGCCCATAGAAACCAATCAAATTAAATTGTTATGGTTTCAGTATGGGAGCATGTCACAGCATAGTGGCTAGGTGGCTGGTGCTTTCTGTGGTGCTAGGGTCCAGAGTTCATTTGCTATTAGAGACTCAATTAGATTGAGTTGGTATGTTTTCCATGGCTGGACATCTGCATTGCCACCACAGGCCAATGCCTAGGGTTGCAGGACTGCCAGGGGCACCAAACAGACACTTTGACATCATTTTGCTAACAGTCAGTAACACATTCCATTGTATGATAAAAAATCACTTTATTAGCAGTTTGCAAGGTTTATAAAGAAGTTAAAATCTTACGAACAAATGTTTTGAGTGTGTATTGTATGCAAAATACATACAAAAAGGCGCCTTAGAACCTTTTTGTAGCTGATAATAAAAGGAAAAAGTCTAAGTGCCCCCAGATTATTTTTTTTAAAGCTACTTGCAAATATGGAGAAAAGGAGGGCACCAAGATCTGGCTGCAATTATACGTGGGCTGGCAAATGATCTCTATTGTTGCTCAGATAGTATTAGCAGCATCAGTCTACCGGCTCCCTCCAGAAAACCGTGAGAGCCACACACTTCTTGTCCATGCTAAAACACTTACGGGTCTATTCACTAAGCTGCCGAGGGCAGCCGAGTCAACAACCGACCCCAAGTGAAGTGAGCCGAACACCGTTCGGCTATTCACTTCAGGCTTGTACGGCTGATTTCTGCCGTATATTGGCTGAAATCAGCCTTACATCGGCTTGCTTCGCATGGCTTCGGGTCGGCCGAACATGCTCAGCATGTTTGGCTGACCCGAAGTGCAGAAGGAGTTCGACTCAGCCGATCCAACATCTGGATCGGCTGAGCCAAACCTCCGGCAGGCTACTCACTGCCATTAGGCATATTCTTATGGATGCCTGAGCTGAGCGGCATTCGGCTCGGCTGTTCTGCTCGGTCGCTCAGAGGGACCGAGCAGAACAGAAAAATAGTTTTAAAAGTTTTTAAAAAGTAAATAGAAAACGATTGTGCAGAGCTAGCAATGAAAATCTTATAGAAAAAAAATCTCCCGGGCGCTCTGGGAGCCTTCCGCTCCCGGCCGCCCAGGAGAGAAACACTGATTTTATCTTTTTTTTTTCTTTATTCTGACACGGAGCTGTGTCAGAATAGAAAAAAAACAAAAAAAATGTTTAGTAAACTAGCATTGTACCCGCCCTCCGCTAATGAACCTTAAAGCTACGGCTAGATCCTTCGGCAGCTTAGTGAATAGACCCCTTAGAGGGTCAATAACCGAGTCGAAGTGAGCTGAGCCCAGCCGAGTCGAAGTATACTCACTTTTGTTGCCAGCGGTTAAACTCCATAATAAAATAAAATAATAATAAAATAAAATAATATTATATAATTAGTTATCAGGCTCACTCAGAGTTAACTTGTAATGTGAAAACATGAATATTAATGCTCACTAACCTTGTCTTTTAGACAGATTTCTTAATAACATTATCTACAAATACATCTAGTCACTTCAATACAGTATTTACATGTTTGACAATATCTTCAGGCTAGTTTGGACATGATAGCAATGTTCTAATTAGTATAAGGAAATAATACATCAACCAGGGTTTTAATTTCCTGTTGATATCATGTTGATATAAAGTGCACAAAAAACCTGTCTAAAAACAAATATATGTAAAAGCCCAACAGCACCATCTTGTGGAACATATTTAGCTTACATATCATTCATTTTACGGATGTACTAACAAACTCCCCAAACAATTTATGTGCATTTACATTAAATCAGGAACAGCATAGGGAAAAAGCATGATGGCATAGAGAAGGTAGAACAGTATTTACCTATGCATCTGCAATTGTCATAAATTGTATTTCCACCGTAAGTGGAGATATTTACAGACCTGCTAGCACCGTTTATGCAGTAGGTGGATGGAGACATTTTAAAATTTGCCGATTGGTTTATTTTAGGTAGTGCATGTCAATCTAGTTAGTATTTTACTGTCTGTTTTAAAACAAACCCAAAGGAGACATTACTTGTTTACTCAGCCAAATTTTAATATGGCATCTAATTCTAATCCTGTTTTAGTCGGTCAGCTTGTAAGAATCAATGAAAGTGTCTTTCCTGCTGTTATTGTGAACCTGCCAGCCATTTTATGCTATTAAAAGTTACAAAAAAACTAAGGGGTCTATTCACTAAGCTGCCGAAGGATCTAGCCGTAGCTTCGGCTAATCCTTCGGCTAGCTTCGGCCCCAGGACCCCTTTGGTTCAGTAGAACCGAAGGGCTGCTGTACGTGCTATAGTGTTTTCTTCAGAGCCTGCACCACTTTTTCAACTGCATGTTTTTTGCACGTGTTTTGCACCTGTTTTCTTCAGAGCTTGCACTAATTTTTTGAACTGCATGTTTTGTTTGCACGTGTTTTGCACCTGTTTTCTTTAGAGCCTGCACTACTTTTTCAACTGCATGTTTTTTGCACCTTTTTTGCACATGTTTTCATCTGCACTTGTTCTGGGCTGTCTGAAACTGGAGCATCACCTAAGAAAACACTCACAACTTAAGAAGTCCCCATGACCACTTCTTCAAGATGCGACAGTTAAGCTTTTTGCCTGAAGTTAGAAGTCTTCATTCTTGGAGTCTATTAAACCTCATTTATCAACAACATTACACTAGCTTGATAAATCTGGTGCAAATATATTCCGTGCAAGTTCAAACACTCGCAATTGCTTTGATACATCCCCCCCATGTTTTTTGCACCTTTTTTGCACGTGTTTTCATCTGCACTTGTTAAACCTCATTAACAACAACATTGCACTAGCTTGATAAATCTGGTGCAAATATTTTCCGTGCAAGTTCAAACACTCACAACTGCTTTGATAAATTCTCCCCTTTGTCTTTTAGTAATACTTTAAAGGCTAAGTGCAGTCTTGGGAAAAACAACATACACATCTATTACTTTTCATTAAATTTGGCAATACAAGACCTCAGATGTATGCAAAGTATAGTTTTCACTTCCAAGCTAAACTATAAAAAATAATGATCATCTCTTTCCCAGAATGGCCATTATTCTTTGTGCACGATCTCAATGGACACTGAAGCACCAGAAAGCATAAACACACTGGCGGTGAAAAATGTCCTTCATCTAAGGCTACTCGTATAGCCAAATTTGATGAGGAGGGAAAGATACAAGTTTATGACTTACTCTTGCCCCAGGACTTAGACCTTTTTTTACCCTGACTACTACATGTGTATACTACATGTGCACAAACATAAGTAATACCAAATCTGTGTACCTGGCGTGCGCTATACAGTATATCTGACCACATAATTGTGTATACTTCATGAAGCAAACTTGTAGTTTAGAGAACTCCTATATTAGCAACCAAAGTGAGTGTACACACAAATCAAATAGAACAGCATACATTTAGTACTCATGTCTGTGTATGTGTTCCTAAGGCTGTCAGATGTACAGTTTAAAACAATGGTAAAATGTTGAAAATTGGAGAGAAGAAAAATTAACAAATTATGAAACCAATATTTAAATCCTCAATGTATTTGTTGTCCACAATAACACTGCACCATAATGAGTACACCAAACCATTCCTATCAGTCTTATCCCCCAAAGGAGCTCACTCATGTCTATACCCATCTCATTCCCACTACAGGGCCAGTTTTCCAGTGGAAACATTTTCCCACCAGTATGTTTATGGATAGTGGAAATAAACTTAGGGAACCTGGAGGAAATATATTCAAACGCAAGTACCAAATACAATCTGCAAACAAATATTTGGGTTCATTTGCTAAAGGCAAATATGCTGTTCACTTCGCAAGCAAATTTTCACTTTGTAAGGGACTTTCTCCTTAGCTAAGTGAATATGCTGGAAATTAACTTACCAAGAAATATCCAATCATGTAAAAGGAAGATAAAAAAACAGTATTTTTGCTCGTACATGTTTGCATGATGGCGGTCAGTAGAACTTCGCCTCATTCACTAAGCTGAGGGAAGATTCCCTTGCAAAGTCAACAGTCTATTTACCCTTAGTAAATCAACCCTCATTGTCTCTGGTGGATTTCAGACCAAGGACCCAATGCCACATTGAACATTATCTTTCCAGTGCTCCAGCGCTGAAAGTAATGGATTATTGTTTAGAATTGTATAATTTCCGCCCCAAATTGTCAAAATAACAGGTGGTCATTTTTTTTAAAGTTCCCCATTCTATAGCCAAAAAAAGATTTCAACGGATTATCTTACATATGGAAGTGAGGAAATATCAGATTCAGAATTTTATAAATAGAATGTTTTACTAGAATGTTTTTTTGCCTTCATTACAAAATAAAAAGTTGCTGCTGCCAATTGTATTGTATTGTGTTCATGTATTTTCTTTTCTCTGTTGTAGCGTATACCGGTGTGTGTTCCTCTCAATCTTGAGACAAATTATCAATTGCTGTACCTGGCAGAACAATTCACAGGGTTTCCTGTAGTTTATCTGAGATTCAAACTGCCAGATGTTACAAGGTAAGGAAGGTTAGATAGTTTTATGTTTGCCATACTTAGTGACACTAAGCTCAGGAGTTAAACATTAAAAATGCATTCAAGTACCCTAAATATTAACAAAAATGTTAATCGTATTTGTGTATCACTGGGCTGTAGATCCTCAAATCATCTCTGAATTGGTCCTTCCTTCTGGAGGGTGGCTATTTTTGTTCCCCATGGTCCCTGTGTGTTGTAAAGTAGTCACTGCTCCAAGCTCAGTCCTGTGATGGACTACAATGTCACATTTAGTTTAAAATTTGTATTGCAATTATAGTCTATCACAGATGAGAAGTACTGTAGACCTTTCTGCAGCTTTTGACACTGTTGACCACCTGCTCCTCCTCAAAAAACTCCACTCGCTTGGCCTACAAGACTCTGCTCTCCCATGGTTCTCCTCCTACCTATCTAAGCGCTCCTTTAGTGTCACCTACAAATCTAACTGCTCCCCTCCTCTTCCTCTTTCTGTAGGGGTCCCCCAAGGCTCTGTCCTTAGACCCTCCTCTTCTCCATCTACATTTCCTCCCTTGGTCAGTTAATAACCTCACATGGCTTCCAATACCATCTCAATTCCACAACTCACCCCCTCAGTGTCCTTGCGTGTCACTAATCTACTATCTGACATATCAGTCTGGATGTCACAACAACTCAACCTTTCAAAAACTGAGCTCATGATATTTTCTCATGCCTGTGCACCTTCCTCCAACTTTTCCCTTGAGATTGATAACGCAACTATCCAACCCTCCCCCATGCTAATGTCCTAGGTCTCATCCTTGACTCGGACCTCACCTTTCTTCCCCACGTCCAATCACTATCCAAATCCTGCCGCCTTCACCTTCGTATCATCTCCAAAATACGCCCCTTCCTCACTGATGAAACTGCTAAATTACTCATCCACTCTCTTGTTATTTCTCGTCTTGACTATTGCAACTCCCTCCTCATTGTCCTTCCACTACACAGGCTATCCCCCCTTCAGTCTATCATGAATGCAGCTGCTAGACTCAGCCACCTAACCAACCGCTCAGTGTCTGTAACCCCCTTCTGCCGATCACTGCACTGGCTTCCAATAGCCCAAAAGGATAAAATTCAAAATATTAACAATGACTTACAAAGCCATCCTCAACTCTGCCCCCAGCTATATCTCAAACCTTGTCTCAAAGTATCACCCTAACCGCCCCCTCCGCTCTTTAAAAGACCTTCTGCTTTCCAGCTCCCTCGTCAACTCCTTCCATGCTCGCCTACAGGACTTCACTAGAGTCTCTCCCATCCTCTGGAACTCTTTACCCCAACCTGTCTGTCTGTCTCCCACTCTGACTGCCTTTAGGCGATCCCTTAAGACTCATCTCTTCAGGGAAGGCTATCTAACCACTCAACCATCACGTTCTCAGACAATTCATCCCCACACAGCTCACTCCTCATGTATCACTTCCCCCTCCGATTTAGATTGTAAGCCCTCACGGGCAGGGCCCTCCTTACCATCTATTCTTGAATTGTATTGTGATTGTAATGTCTTCCTTATATTGTAAAGCGCTGCGTTAACTGTTGGCGCTATATAAATCCTGTATAATAATAATAATAATAATATCAGATTGGTGATCTGCAGTAATTTAACGGCAATGAAGTCACCCATACACTTGACACAGACATATTAATGTTATCATTTTCTTCCAATCTTTGTCCTGTGTATGGGCTGTTGCCAACTTTCAAATTGACAGATATTGACAAATATCCCATACTTAATGGCTGGCAGGAATAGTGCCAAACTCCAGATGTGACCAACCTTATGTGTCTTCCACAATCTAATAGAAGAATTGGTTGATCTGATAGGCCTATGCATGAGAAGCTAAGCTGACATTTTGGAATTTATTTTCTACAAAGGTTTTCAGCAGAGTTTGATTTACGAACCTACGATGGGGAGGGAGTAATTCTGTACGCAGAGTCATTTGATGCCACTTCATGGTTTCTGCTCGGTCTGCGTGATGGAAAAATTGAAATTCAGTTCAAGAATGAACTATGGACAAAAGTTACAACCGGCGGCAAGTCAATCAATAACGGAGAGTGGCATATAGTGAGTATAATGGTTTTGATTTTTTAACTGCTGTATTTGATTTCATTTTTTTCAAAGGGCTACAGTTGTCTTCAAGGAAAATACTGTAGGTGGTACAGCTATGAATTTACATTATGTACTACTATAATAATGTGTGTTTTTCCTACCTTTAGGTGTGTTTCATCATGTTTTTATATACTTTGAAAGAGCTACGTATTCCTTATTTGCACCTTAAAATATTTTTATTGAAAGCCCTTTGAAAGGTTTAATTATCTATCTATCTATCTATCTATCTATCTATCTATCTATCTATCTATCTATCTATCTCATCTTGCATTTCTCTGCATGAAATATCTACATCATAGGCTTGTGTTTTCCATGCTGCTAAAATGGCCATAGCTGGTGCTGAAATGCAACAGCAATGGAGTACGTAGTTTGTGAATAAGTGAGGGCTGTTTAGTAACCAATCACCGCAGTAAGGTTTGGTCAGCCCTTGTAAAATGAGCAAATGTAATACAGTCAGCAGGGATAATGCAAGTTGAGCACCTTTTTAGCGGGTTAAGTGTGAGAATTTTCTACACTGACCAGCCTTGTCGTACTCAGTGAGTTTAGGATAGACTTGTATAGCGAATTCATCCAGAGCCATTCCCGTGGGATGCACATTTAATGAGGTGTTTCCGGGTCTGTATGCCTCTTGATGGCAGCACTATTTCTCCTACATGAGACTGGAAAGCTCTTCATTTACATAGATATTTACCTATTGCAAGGATAGATGAACCCAGGATTGGGGTACCAGGTTTTCTGTTGCATGATGTGTTGCTCTTTGTAAGGATTCGGTCTTTAACACCAGTGTAGATTCTATGGTAATCAAAGCTCTCCTCTGGGGTATTATACATATAATGCCCATACAATCAGTCAAATTGCTGTTGGCTACCCAGCATTGTGTCCAGCACCATCCAGCATCTTGCTCAGGTAAAAAACATGATCCAATCAGTTGAATTAAAAATTGTAAAATAAAATTTGCTGTCCTGTAACCTAGAGTTCCAAATCATAGGTCAGCTTGTGCAAGGTAAAGCCGAATTCCAAGCACACCATTTGTGTTATCTTTTAATTCAATTACTCTTGGTTCACCCATCTAGCATTGTCTTATTAGTTTTCTTTCATCCGATAAGCAAATGAAGTCAAGCTCCCTCTGTGTAAGCTCCCCCTTGAAGTAATTATATCACTGTACTCGGCCTTGCAGCTGACCCCAGCATCATGGTTTTGTCTTCACCCCCTGTGTGCTCATTGTCATTCATTGGACCCAGCCTGTGATGCCAATGCAGCATCATAACAGTCTTGGTTCTTTAATGATATTGCAGCATCAAGACAGTCTGAATGGGAAAGAACATACCGGGGGCAGAAACACGGCCACCATGCAAGGGTCATCGGCAAAGGCAGAAGTGCAGTGGCAGTTGTATTTCCAGGAGGAGCTTACAAGTTATTTTATATGCTTATCAGAGGAGAATAAAACTTAGACCACTCTGCATGGGTACGTAAAAATATATATAATCAAAAGATTTTAAAAATATTGTGGCAAGAGTTCAGATTCATGTGTAATTTGACAAATTACAGATAATTCCTAATTGCTTGGTATGGCTGCCTGAACACTGATGTTATGGTATTTAAACTACACAATAAATTAAATTCTACACACAATACAGTACCTTTTAAAAGTAACCTACAATATAACCCTACAGTTGCAAACACAGTGCTCATTATAATGTATCTTTGTTTTCTTCCTTCACACATCACCTCTTGTTCTAGCATAGTAAAAATAAACAGCTACACAGTAAACTAAAATGTGTGTTCATTCATCTTGTAGGTGTCAGTGGAGGAGCTGGAAAACAGCATAAGTGTGAAGATTGCGAAAGAAGCTGTTATGAGCATCAATAACCCCAAATATCTGTTTAAATCTGTGAATGGTATTTTGGAAACCAAAGTCTACATAGCGGGATTGCCAAAGAAAATTGAAAATCTCATTAAACCGGTGATTTCATGGAATGTTTATTCACAGTGCAATTATTGTGATACATTTAAATTCCTTTATTTAGGAAAGACCAAAAATAAACAGCAGAGCAGAGGCAGAAACCCATAATTAGGTGCCTAGTTGCCAATGGCACCAGTTTATGTTTGTTTTAGCACTCAACATTCTCCTTTGATTCCTTAGTTTATGTTACCCTTTCTCGACATATTAAAACCCAATTGAGCCCTTATTTTCTATTAGTCGAATGTATTCAGGTGAAATAAGGACAACAGGAACATATAGGTTTTTTTTTTAAACTATTATTATTTGATTATTATGTCCTATTGCTGTAGCCCTATATCAAGCTGCCTTGTGCTTGCAACACGCTGGAGATTCAGGCCACTGCTCTGGTTGGAATCTCCAGTGGTCCCACGTGCCCCCTGCACACTGCTCCAATCAACAACTCTGCTAGAGGAGCATGAGCTTTTCTAAATGGAGCATTGTGCAGGGAGCATGTTAGATTGCTGGAGGTCCGGACCGCTGAACTCTGTGTAAAGGGCAGTGGTTCGAAATCTACAGGGCAGCTTGATATAGGGTTGCCTCAATAGTACATAGTACAAAAATACATATATTATACATTTTATCAAACCTAAATGACTATTAAAATCTAAAGGTTCATTTGGGCTTTAAACTAAACCTTTCACAAACCTGGTCATCTCAAACTCATCATAGGATGTAAAAATACACAAGCTGAGGCTGTCTGCGGTGACAACTGCATGGCAAAATGATTTATTTGTAGAGATACAAGGGAAGGGTGTATTATATGCATATTTTCCTATTAAATTGTTAATATTACGGGGTCTATTTATAATCAATAAATACATATTTATATATGCTCATCATCTCCATCCATTGGCTATAATGCTGTGTTACATCACAATACATTGAACCTGAAAAAAACAAGCAAACATTCATTTTGTCATCATTGGCACAAAACAAAGGTTCATAGATATTCCTAATATTCTCGAAGGATGAATTGTTTATGATTAGACTGCTATGTCTGTCCTTTGCTGACATTTCAATACATTGTCCAAAATAACGTTAGTAAAAAATATATAACAACCACCCTACCATCTACACTATCGCTAAAGCTGTCCAAAGGATCGGAATGAAAGTCACCTGATTTTAATCGAAAATGATCCTCTCATCTCTGAGGGGTCAGCAAGGTGCCTCCTGACCAAACCATCTTAGGGGTACTCTTATTGGGCAGATTAGAAAGCCTATACTGACCACTTTTGTTCTCCCTTAGAAAAGAGACATGATTGTGCTTTACCATAAACTCTTGAGAAAAGAACCCCTCTGTTCTCTTCCCCACATGTAGCCTTGCCTGCATTGTATTGGGTTGGAGTTGGGGGCTTATTCTGCCCTATGACAGATTGGAGGCCACATCACAAATATTGTTTTCCTGTTATTTGGTTAAAGCCCAATTCCAGCAAAACATTTTTTTAAATGTTTTGGATAGAGCAGGGAAGAGTTGGAGGCATTGTCAGGGTTTTATTGCCATATAGTGGAAGTGATGGAAAATCCCTCCAACAAGGGCACAGTGAAAAACAGAAACATGTTTCAATGAAGTGGACAATGGTTACAACTTCTGACAATATTTTTAATTGCTGTCCATGTATCTGCATCATTATAAACAGAAGTAAAACCTGCCAGAAATGTTACGTCTTTGTTACTCTATCCCAATTTTTTTTTTTTAAATGGCAGAGATGGATTTTAAATTTGCAACTTAACCTAAACCCTCCTCCCATGCTTATAATATATAT